CTGAGATTACAGGCGTGAGCCACCACACCTGGCCCCATTGGTTTCTTTTTATTTTTTGTAGATATGGGGCTCTCACTATGTCACTCAGGCCAGCCTCAACCTCCTGGTCTCAAGTGATCCTTCTGCCTTGGCCTCCCAAAGCGTTGAGATGACAGGTATGCAGCACTGTGCCCAGCCTCATGTTTCATCTTCTTGAGCCAACCTGAGTGTCTCCGTGTTCTCCAGCACTCTGTTCCCTTGAAGATGCCATCTCCTGTGTGACTGCTGCGAGTCCTGGCATCTTTTCAGGATTTCCTCTCTAAGAGCCATTCACAAAATGGTGAGTTCATTTGCCCACAGTCCACATGGCAGCCAATAGCAAGGCCAAACAGCAGCAGTGCCTGGATCTCCCTGCATAGCACATTCACCTTGCCTTGCATACACTTCCTTCACTACACGAGGGTAAGAACACCTTTGAGATCATCAGTGTGCATGTTCTCTGTTCAGACTAAAACATACAATAACTCCCACCAAGACACTAACATCCTGATGGGTCTGTATGTTAAAGCAGTTGTCTTCAAATTTAACTCCTATGAATGATTATACTTCTGTTTATTCTAAAACTCCCTGGAGACTTCCCAGTATCTTGCAATTCCTCAATAAGTCACAGGGAGCCCAGGAATAAATTATTCAAAAACAATTAGCAAAACACTTTAACTTATTTTATTTATTTAGTTGGTGATATTTTCCAATTTAATTAGTTTTGCTGATATAGAAATTTTTCGAAGAGGCCTCTTTGGGTTAAGAACAATGCTCTTCTTTCTAGTTGCTCTAGAGAAGAGGAAGAAGAAGAAAAAAGAACAAAGCCCATTTTATGAAACTTTTAGCCATGAGTAGAACACAGCACAATGAAAACATTCTCTTTTACACAAGAAATATATTTTGGCCAGGTGCGGTGGCTCATGCCTGTAATCCGAGCATTTTGGGAAGCCAAGGCAGGAAGATCACCTGAGGTTAGGAGTTCAAGACCAGTTTGGCCAACATGGTGAAACTCTGTCTTTACTAAAAATACAAAAATTAGCCAGGTGTCACGATGGCCGCCTGTAATCACAGCTACTCAGGAAGCTGAGGCAGGAGAATTGCTTGAACCCAGGAGGCAGAACTTGCAGTGAGCTGAGATTGGGCCACTGCACTCTAACCTGGGCGACAGAGCAAGACTCCATCTCAAAAAAGAAATAACAGAAATATATTTCACAAAAGTGCATTTAATGCAGGCAAATAGTGAGCATCAGAGAACTTGGTCTGGAGTCCAGAGACACAGTGTCGCATTGGTTACAAGAGTGGTTTGGGACCCCAGCTTTACTGCATTAATAGCTGCCCGTGCCTAGCAATGTACTTAACCCTCTTTGCCTCAGTATCTTCTCCATAAAATGGGGATGGCAGTAGTACAGTGGTCCATGCCTCAGAGGGTTTGACAAGGGTCAAGTGGTGGGCACACAGTGCTCAATAAATGCTGTAGCTATTATCTTTATTTTCGTCTCTGTGAGTGAAAGAAAAATCCAACACTGGATCGGATTAAATTCTTCCAGAAGCAATGGCTTAAAATAAACTGCCATTCAAAACCTAAAATTATCATATTGGGTTAAAGCTATTCAAAATTTAACTGATCTATATACCAGTAATTCCACAAAACAGATAAATATGTGTAGTTACTTAGAACATTTAACAACTGCATTTAAATGTAGATTCTCAGCCAGGCTCGGTGGCTCACACCTCTAATACCAGAACTTTGGGAGGCTGAGGCGGGTGGATCACCTGAGGTCAGGAGTTCGAGACCAGTCTGGCCAACATAGTGAAAACCGTCTCTACTAAAAATACAAAAATTAGCTGGGTATTGTGGCGGGCACCCTGTAATCACAGCTACTCAGAAGGCTGAGGCCAGAGAATTGCTTGAACCCAAGAAGCGAAGGTTACAGTGAGCCAAGATCACACCACTGCACTCCAGCCTGGGCAACAGAGTGATACTCCATCTCAAAAAAAGCAAAAAAGCATAAAAAAATTAAAAAACAAAAAAAAAATGTAGATTCTTGGGCTTTGTTTCATATGATTCCCAACAGCAGAGAGACCTAAGAATGTGCTTTTTTTTTTTTTTTTTTTTTTTTTTGAGATGGAGTCTTGCTCTGTCACCAGGCTACAGTGTAGTGGCACCATCTCAGCTCACTACAATCTCTGCCATCTGGGTTCCAGCAATTCTCCTACCTTAGCCTCCTGAGTAGCTGGGACTACAGGCATGTGCCACCACGCCCAGCTAATTTTTTTTGTATTTTTAGTAGAGACAGGGTTTCACCACGTTGGCCAAAATGGTCTTGATCTCCTGACCTCGTGATCCACCCATCTCATCCTCTCAAAGTACTGGGATTACAGGCGTGAGGCACCAGTAGCCCGGCCAAGAGTGTGTATTTTTATCAAGCCCTTTAGTGACCTTTATGAACACGCAAACTCAGGTAATAACATTGATTGAAGGGTTGGTGAGTACAGATTTTCCAGGTTTAAATGATATTGGACATAGATCAGCTGTTCTCAAATTTTTTTATTGTTGTATTTGAGGTAGAGTCTTGCTCTGTAGCCCAGGCTGGAGTGCAGTGGCACGATTTCGGCTCACTGCAACCTTTGCCTCCTGAGTCCCGGTTCAAGTAATTCTCCTACCTCAGCCTCCCAAGTAGCTGGATTACAGGCACAAGCCACCATGCCCAGCTAATTTTTGTATTTCTTTTTAGATGGGGTTTCACCATGTTGGCCAGTCTGGTCTTAAACTCCTGACCTCGTGATCCACCTGCCTCGACCTCCCAAAGTGTTGAGATTACAGACATAAGCCACCGCAACTGGCCTATTCTCAAATTTTAATGTGCTTAAGAATCACCAGGAAAGTGGTTAAAAATTAGATATCCAGAGATTTAGACATTTAGGGATATAGATTCAAAGCTCTGGGAAACACTCAAAAATCTGCAATTTTAACCAGTTTCTTCTCTCCAGGGTGAATCATTCAAAGGCACTTGTCTTCATCCATTCTGTGCTGCTGCAAAAGGTAATTTATAATGAACAGAGATATATTTGGCTCAGGGTTATGGAGGTTGGGAAGTCCAAGTACAGGGGCTACATCTGATGAGGGCCTTCTTGCTCTCTCAAATGATGGCAGAAAGTATCACATGGTGACAGAGAGCAGGAAGGGGGCTAAACTCATTCCTTAGAAGGCACTCACTCGTGTAATAATGAACCCCACTCCCACAATGACCGCATTAATGCATTAAGGCAGAGTCTTCATGACCTAATCACTTCTTAAAGGTCCCACCTCCCCACATTGTTGTATTGGGGATTAGGTGGTTTCCAACACATGAGCTTTGGGGGATACATTCAAACCATAGCATTCTGCCCCTGACTACCGAAATTCATGTTTTCACATGCAAAATACATTCATTCCATCCCAGTAGCTCCAAAAGTCTTAACTTGTTTCAGAACCAACGCAAAACTTTAATGTTCAGAGTCTCAACTAAATCAGATATGGGTTAGACACATAGCACAATTCATCCTGAGGCAAATTTTCCTCCAGCTGTAAGCCTATGAAATAATAATAAAAATAAAGTGATCTGCTTCCAAAATACAGTGGTAAGACAGATATAGGGTAGATGCTTCCTTTCTTCTTCTTTTTTTTTTTTTTGAAACAGTGTTTCACTCTTGTTGCCCAGGCTGGAGTGCAATGGCCAGGCTGGAGTGCAACGGCACAATCTCTGTTCACTGTGATCTTCACCTCCTGGGTTCAAGCAATTCTCCTACTTCAGGGTCCCGAGTAGCTGAGATTACAGGTGGCTGCCACGACACCTGGCTAATTTTTTGTATTTTTAGTAGAGATGGGGTTTCACCATGTTGGCCAGGCTGGTCTCAAACTCCTGACCTCAGGGGATCCACCCACCTCAGCCTCCCAAAGTGCTGGTCTTACAAGCATGAGCCACCGTTCCCAGCAGACATTTTCATTTCAAAAAGGAGAAATCGGCCAAAAGAAAGAAGTAACAGGTCCAAAGTAATTCCGAAACCCAGGAAGGCAGACAAATTAAATCTCAAGACTCCCGAATAATCTTTTATTTCCTGTACTGCTACCTGGACACATTGGGAGGGTTGAGTCCCCAAAGCCTAGAGCAGCCCTGCCCCTCTAGAGCTAGCAATATAGGGCTACTATACTGCTGTGCCTGCTGGGCTCAGTTCACGCAGAAGCTCTCACGAGCTGAAGTATCGCGCCTTCAGCTCTCCCAAGCTGAAGTTGCAAATTATTAACTCCACAGTTCAGCCAGGCACAGTGGCTCACGCCTGTAATACCAGCACTTTGGGAGGCCAAGGCGGGTGGATGACCTGAGGTCAGGAGTTTAAGACCAGCCTGGCCAACATGGCGAAACCCCATCCCCACTATAAATACAAAAATTAGCTGGGCCTGGTGGCACACGCCTGTAATCCCAGCTACTCGGGAGGCTGAGGCAGAAGAATCACTTGAACCTGGGAAGCAGAGGTTACAGTGAGCAGAGATCGCCACTGCATTCCAGCCTGGGTGACAGAGTGAGACTCCATCTCAAAAAAAGTAAAAAGAAATAATAATAAAAAAGCTGGATTAGGGCTATAATTTTGGGGTTTTGAAATGCCATGTCAATAGTCTGGGAATCGATCTCTCATTTTATTACAAATGATTATGTTAAAAAATTTCCCATTTTTCAGAAGGGAAATGATATGATAAATGTGATGCTTAAAGACATTCATCAGATTCTAGTATGTGGAGCATGCTAAAGAAATGAAAGAATAAAGGAGATGCAAGCTGTTGCATTAGCCATGGTATGAGATGTTAAGGACCCCAACTTTATTAAGTCACACTTAATAAACGGCTTGAACCCAGGAGGCAGAGGGTGTAGTGAGCTGAGATTGCGCCACTGCACTCCAGCCTGGCGACAGAGCAAGACTCTGTCTCAAAAAACAAACAAACAATACTCTGGGTTCTCTTCAGGCTCTATAAATCTTTGGCCTTTTACTAAAGATTTCCGTGGAGAGGAACAGTTATGAGTCTTTATACAATTTTTTGAGGCCTTGTGTTTCACGAAGCTAAATAAAAAAACAAACAAACAAAAAACTCTACAGTTGTTGGGTCTCAGAGGTGGCCCCACTCTTGCGGCTCCATTAGGCATTGCCCTGGTGGGGTCTTTGCAGTAGCTTCACCTCTGTGACAAACTTCGGCCTGGGGCTCCTGGACCTCCCAGGTTCAAGGGATTCTCATGCCTCAGACTCCTGAGTAGCTGGGATAACAGGTGCCTGCCACTACTCCTGGCTAATTTTTTGTCCCTTTTTTTTTTTAGTAGACATGGGGTTTCATTATGTTGGCCAGACTGGTCTTGAACCCTTGACCTTGTGCTCTGCCTGCCTCGGCCTCCCAAAGTGGGCCATATGGTCTTTGCCACAACTATTCAGCCCTGCTGCTGTAATACAAAAGCAGCTGTATACAATGATGACTCAACCAGTGTGGCTAGCTATGTTCCAATAAAACTTTATTGGCAATGACGAGCAGGCTGATTAGGCTCATGAGCTGTAGTTCCCCCACCCTGCTCTAACCACCTGTTGCCCACTCTTGGCCTCAGGCAGGACCCGCACCTCACCTCATCATCCAGTGTTAGCCCATCCCTGGTGAGTTTCTCCTGCTCCGCAATTCACCATCCTTTCCTCTCCAAACAAAATCCGACATAGCTTATTCTTACTTGAACATTTGATGTTATTTTACTTAACATTTCTTAAACTGCTGTCTGATATCTGGAAACATATTCTGATGCCTTTTATCTTCTTTTTGCCTGCAGTAATATATACTTTTGACAGAGTAGTGTGTTTGAGAGTGCATTTCCCTCATTAAAAAGAGTACTGCTGCATGTATACATTTTCCAGTCAGCAATAATTATTGCCAAATAGAGCAAGGCTTCTAATTAACAAGCAAATTCCAAACTCCAAATGGTGTACCAGACTACTTAATTAGATCTGTTGCTTTTTAATTCCCTCACGGAAAGTCTCAGACATGGCTTTAACTCTATTTAGTCAGTTATTTTCTTTAGCCTAACCTTGGTCTTACTCTACATCATGCTAATTATTCTCACTAATTTATTTGTTTACTGCAGGTAGAGGCTCTCTTACCCTACACAGGTCAGGGAATGTAAAAATCTCCGTGATCCGTAACTCTGGTTTTATCTCCCAGACAACAAGAGCAATACCTGACAATGGTTTTGTTTGATTTTCATATCTAGGTTTGTTTTTCTTCTCTCTTGCCTGCAACCTCTGCATTTGTTAAAACGATAGAATATTTCAATTCAAACCAATGACATGGAAAAACAGTATGTAGCCTGGTTTTACTAGAGAAATGAAGACGAGGGCTAACGTGAAGATACTGTGCTAGGAAATGGCAGGAGAGAAGGCTGAAAAGTTTAAGTAACGAGGATTTTAGCAAGAGGGCCTCAGAGTGCTTTCCTACTGTCTTCTCTGGACTCCCAATTTCCAGCCGTTTCTCTGCAGTCTGGCACCTACAGGCCATTAGCAGACCTGGAGGAATGTAGCAAAGCCTCTACCCAGGCCCATGGGAAAACGCTTCGGCAGGATTTGTTTCCCTCTTGAAGTCAGACCAAATGTATGAGTTTTCTATTACTGCTGTTACAAATGGCCATGCCTTTAGAGGCTTAAAAACAGCATGGATCTATTATCTTACAGTTGCGGAGGTCAGAAGTTCAAAATGGGTCTCACTGGCCTAAAAGAAAATTGTTGACGGGGCTGTGTTCCTTTGAGAGGCTTTATGGAAAAAGTCCATGTGTCCTTGCCTTTTCCATGCCACCTACATTCCTTGGCTCGTGGCCTCTTCCTCCATCTTCAAAGCCAGTGAAGGAGCATCTTTAAATCTCTATAGGACTCTGACCCTCTTGCCTTGTGATTACATTGCACACACCTAATCAAGGATAACCTCCCCATGTCAAGGTCATCTGATTAGCAACCTTAACTCCATCCACAATCTTAATTCCCTGTTGTAATAGAACATATTCACAAATTCTTGGGATTAGATATCTTTTGGGGGGGGACCATTATTCTGTCTATTACATCAACTGAGTCTAGGATTCAATAATTCAGAGTACTGGTGCGTCTCTATGCATTTTGTCAAAATTACTGAATTCCAAAATGAAGAATACGTTTTTACAACATGCTAGACATAAAATTTAGTGATGTATACATACACATGAGATTAGCATTACATTTATCTGCAGAATGAATGAACATGGAAGGGTGTGGACACACAGAGACTAAAATCCAGGAAATGTGTTTCCATCTAAGATATCATTCACCCATCAAGGAAAATGAAGACATTTGGAAATATGCTAGAATTCCAAAAATATATCATCTGTGAAGATTCAAAGGGAATATTCAAGAAAAAACTTTCAGTCAAACAACAAAATATCTCAAACAGAGGCTGGAGGACAGAGCAAGGGGAAAAGAAGATTAAATAGTGGCCAGTAATGAACATTTCAAAAACCGTATATATTGTTAAATCTAAACAGAGAATTGTAGAATATAAAAATTAAAAAGTATGGATTTACTTTACTTGGCTGATCTTAGTTATAGAAATCTAATTTACCCTTTTATTTGACGAGAAGCCTTGTGAGGAAGCTAGACTTGGTGACGTAAGTCCTTAAGGGCTGTGCTAATATTGCCTTTCTTAGCAAGATAAGGAAAAAAAAAATACAGAATATGTCCTGGTGACCACTAGAGCGCTCTATACAAACACACGGTGCTGGAAACTAAATGCATACATTCTCTGGGAGAATAAACCGTATGCTAGCTTAGTTAGAGGTGTTATCCCTAAATTTACTGATAGTTACAAGAAAAATTAAAAAAAAAAAGAATTCCTGAGAAATTTAAATGTTTGACAACCAGGCCTGTAAATATAATGGTTTAACCACAAAGCTTTAAAGCGTTTGTTATGGGAAATTGACTTTCTTCAAGTCAGCTGTAAATTAACTCATCAGTCTTGTGATAAGTAACGTACCACTCAGGATGTGAACTTGCTGGACTTGTGATGATGAATCCACCACACTGTGGCTGTTCTCTTGTTTTTCAGAGCACTTTTTCTTCCCTTACCAGTTCTATTCCCAACAGGTAGAGAAGTGATTTAGGCTGCCTCTGACAGATCTGATCCATACACAGTACAAAGCGTCTTTCTTCCATGCACTGAGTGAAATACTAACAACAGTCTTGTACTAAAAGTTATAAATTTAGCAAAACGTAGGACTTGAGGGGATGGGAGACAGTTAAGTAAAATTAGAAGGATAGTCTAAATTTATCTTCTTTCTGGTGTATGAATAAAAGCGATAGGGAAATAGAGTATCTGAAGTATATAGGAATTGTATCTTGCTTTCATGTAATAGTCAAGAAACAGCATTTAATTGTGAAGCTACTTGTTCACACAAGAAAAAAAGCTAACACATTTTCAAAAGTAGAAATTTTAAGAAATCACATTCTCTGATCATAGTCTGATACAGATAGACAAAAAGTAAAACTATGCCTCTAAGAAAATAACAAATCACTTCTACATCAATCTTGGATAAAACAGAAAAGTCAAAATAAAACCATGAACTATAGGTAGACCAGTGAAAGGAAGGCCACTACGTTCTAAAACCTCTGTCACACAGGTCAGGCACAGTGGCCTGTAAGCCCAGCGCTTTGGGAGGCAGGTGACTCACTTGAGGTCAGGATTTTGAGACCAGCCTGGCCAACATACTAAAAACACAAAAATTAGCTGGGTGTGGTAGTGCACACCTGTAATCTCAGCTACTTGGGAGGCTGGAGCAGGAGAATTGCTTGAACTCAGGAGGTAGAGGCTGTAGTGAGCTGAGACTGTGCCACTTCACTCTAGCCTGGGCAACAGATCAGTAATTTATCTCTAATAATAATAATAATAAAATGCCTGGTAAATAATGAAAGCTATACTCAGTGGGAGATTACAACCATGAAAGCTGTGCTGGGGGTCCCCAAGACCACTTTCAGGCTTGTCAATAGACTAGAAGAACTCACAGGACTCAGAAAAGCTATTGTGTGCACAATTATGTTTTATTTCAAGGAAAGGGTGCAGGTTAAAATCAGCAAAATGCAAAGGGTTGTGGAGCAAAGTCCAGGAGAAACCAGGTGCAAACTTCCAGATGTCCTCTCCCAGTAGAGAAACACAGACGCATTTAATTCTCCCAACGAGAATGTGTGATTACACGTGCAAAGTACTGCCAGTCAGGGAAACTTACCTGAGGCTTGGTGTCCAGGGTTTTTATTGGCAGAGTCACTAGCATAAACACAGTACATGTATGATTAACCTCAGCCACTCAGAGCAAAAATAGCAAAAAGAAGCATCACCATAAATCACATTGTTAGCAGAAACCACCTAACTAAAATAGTACCAGGTAGCCCAAAGCCTCAGTCATGCAAAACTCTCTGATCCTGCAGAATATTTCAACATCTCAGGGCTTAGCTCCCAAGAGCCAGCTGAGGCTGATCCTAAAGACAGGCCTTCTTAGGGCACGAGCAGGGTTTAGCGGCCAGAACTGCAGTTAGCACCTTCTGCACAAATGCCTCCATGATTTTAGAAGAAACAATACATTTTTAAAAAATACAATTCTTGGTTTAAGAAATTAGAAATAGAAACAAAAGATAGCACAAAAGGGAATTAAGGTAACAAAAAGAAATAAAATGTAATAAGAGGTTAAATATATCCCAAAGCCAGTTCTTCCAAAAGACCAACAAAATAGACAAACGCTCATGAGATTAATCAAGAATTAAAGAGGATAAAAATACACAAGCTTAGGAATGAGAACGAAAACATGACCATAGATAAGGAAGACAATAAAATAGTTTAAAGATATCCTAGATACAATGCATAGAATAAAGATACAATGCATAGAATATCCTAGATACAATGCATACAATGCATATATTAATATATATATAAAATGCATTTTATATATATATACATATATATATACATATATATATATATATATATTTTTTTTTTTTCTTTTTGGAGATGGAGTTTCATTCATGT